ACTTATGAAACCACGAAACCTGTGAAACCACGAAACCTATGAAACCACGAAACCTGTGAAACCACGAAACTTATGAAACCATGAAACTTATGAAACCACGAAACCTCGAAACCTATGAAACCTTTGAAACCATGAAACCTGTGAAACCTCGAAACCTGTGAAACCACGAAACCAGTGAAACCATGAAACTTATGAAACCACGAAACCACGAAACCTATGAAACCATGAAAACTACGAACCCTGTGAAACCTCGAAACCTGTGAAACCACGAAACCAGGGAAATCACGAAACCATGAAACCTATGAACGCTATGAAACCATGAAACTTGTGAAACCACGAAACCTATGAAACCACGAAACTTATGAAACCTATGAAAACCTATGAAACCATGAAACCTATGAAACCTATGAAACCATGAAACCTATGAAACCTATGAAACCATGAAACCCATGAAACCATGAAACCTATGAAACCATGAAACCTATGAAACCATGAAACCTATGAAACCATGAAACCTATGAAACCACGAAACCTATGACACCGCGAAACCTCTGAAACCTCGAAACCTATGAAACCTATGAATCAATGAAACCACCTATGAAACCATGAAACCAGGAAACCTATGAAACCTTGAACCTATGAAACCACGAAACCATGAAACTTTCTTTAATACATACATGTCGCAATTAGGTTTTTAATTTGCATATATTCGTGATCCGTAACACTAAGTTGTAACCGATAGGACGCTGCTATGCTTGAGTTCCACGTGATCCAAGGTCCAAATACGCGTAATGCGCGTGATAAAATCGCGTTCTTTGCATTCCACCCGAACGAAGCAAAAATCGAGTCAGGGCCAAACTATACAAGTTTTCATCGGTTGATGCTCTTCTTTTGACATCATAGCGAGAACTGAGTATTCTATAAAACTGTTTCTTTCCATTTTCAATCTTTTAAATGTATATTAACACTTCAATGATGCAAAACTTTGGCTTTGAAGATGATCTAGCACACTGACCGACTCGGCGGCCATCTTTAAAAATATTCTTGTTCGAGTGGAAATGGATTCTGATTGGTTTACGAGGATTTATCGATCGATTTTGGCAGAACAAATTTGCTCCAAAATCGAGATATGGTGTGCAAAATAGGTTGCGGGCTCTTCTTGAGCCCGCAATTAACTTTAAAGGTCGTATTTCATATTTTTTTTGTTACTGTGCACGTATTGTAACGCGATAATCTTCACAACGTGACAACGCGAACGTGACCCGCGCATTCTCGTGACACGCAAAAAATCTCGAGCGGTGCGGTCGTGAGTCGAGAGAATCGCGTGGGCGCGAGGAGTTTTCTCGCGCATTCCGCGTTCCTTCTACCAACGTTGGAGAGAAAAGGAAAGACTTCTCATAATCTATGGAAAGTTAAGATGTAATCTATATTTTTTTTTTTACTTTCGCTCTGTCGTAGACAATCCACTATCCTGGCTACTGACGGCGAGTTCGAGGTTCCTAAACGGACTATCAAAAATGGCATCAACTTTCCGTTGTCGGGAAAATATTTTTTGTAGTCTTTTAATAGCTCGGTCAGTGGGTTATGCTGAAACAATCAGAAGGCTTTTTTTTCGGTTCCTATCGCATCAGTTCGCCCCTCGCCAACTAATTTTTTAACTAGAAAGCCAGGAAATC